TCCTCTCTTCACACAAACAAACTTGCTCCCTTCTGAGACATAAGCTCTGCTCTGGGCTTTGGCACCCGATGGGAGAGACCTCTTAAGAAAATCAGAAGAAAAGCCTCAGCTCCTCAGTGGCTGAGCTGTGCAACCCAGGAAAAGGAACTGCATTTCTCTGAACCTGACTTCTTCCTCTGGCAAATGACAGACATACAGGAGCATAGAAGAGCCTCTAAGGAGAGAACTGTCAAACCAGGCAAGGCAGCTCTGTTACCTGTTAAGGGGCGGGAAGCAGGGAGAAAACTGTTCACATTCTCTTCTGCTTTGGACATATATGCTTAGATTCATAGAACCATAGAAAGTTAGGGATTCGGAGACATCTAGTCCCCTGTTTCCTCTCTGGGAAATTGAGTCCCAGAGAAAGATCAAGACTTGCCTAAGCCTGATTGACTCCAGCGCAAACTTCAATGCCAGTCGTCAGATCTGGAGAGAATGCTTCCAGGGACACTCACCCCCTACTAGGCAGGGCTAGAAGAAATGGCTTTAACTTGTAAACAGAAGGATTCTGGTGAGATACAAGGGAGAACTCCCGAGTACAAGAATGAAGATGGGGTCATTCTTTACAACCTGGACAGAGGCAGGGGGACGCCTGAAATGATCTCTGCACTACACCTCCTGGGGGCACCACTGTCACGCCAGTCCTTTCTTTGAGAATCCGAAGGATTCAGGGTCCCTCTCCCAGAGCCCGGCGCCATAGTCGGCGGCTGGGGGAACTTGAGAGGCCAGTCCTGGAACAGGTGCAACAGCTGGAGCAACTGCGCAGCTGTTGCCGGGCTCAGGCTCAGCAGCCTGCACGCCAGTGAGTGAGGCAGCGACCTCTGCTGGTGGGAGAGAAGAGGTGCAGAATGGCCCAGTCAGACCCAGAGAGAAGTCGCCTGAAGTTGGGCTTCAGGCCTTCGCTTGGTTGCTCCCCACCGCCTTAGACACACCTGCACAGGGAGATGGGGATGCCACTAAGCTGAGCAGAAGAGCAGGGTCCCCGCTGGCCAGTCTCCCACTGCCCCAGGCCATCGAGGCACTTTTTTTCTGGTGTCTGAGCGTCTGCCTGCCTACTCCTCCCTGGCGGGCAGGAATACTACCCTCCCCTCAATCCCTATTCCAAAAGCCAGAGTGAACCCGGAATCAAGGCAACCACATCTTTGGATCTTGGAGACTTAGGATCACGAGGTGTGAAAACTAGAATGGTCCTCAATAATCACCCACTTGAATCCAACCATTTCACTTTACAGGGGGGAATTGAGATGCAGAGAAAGGCAACTTGTCCAGGGTCACAGCTGGAATTGATGGCACAGCCAGGGCTCGATCCCTGACTTTCTGGTTCCAGGTTTGCCCTCTGCATCACATCCGACCAGGGGAGTTCTCTTCCTCTCCCATGCCTGAATCTAGGATCTGGAATCCATCACCTGGGAACAAAAGCTTCAATTTCCATAATAACACAAAACCCTTGAATGAAAGAATAGATTAGTTTTGTTTTGTTTCTTTCTGAGCAGGGTCTCACTGTGACACCCAGGTTGGAGTGCAGTGGTGCAATCACAGCTCACTACAGCCTCTATCTACTGGACTCAAGCAATCCTTCCACCTTAGCCTCCTGAGTAGCTGGGACCACAGATATGTGCCACCATGCCAGGCTAATTTCTTTATTTTTTCTAGAGGCAGGGTCTTACTATGTTGCTCAGACTGGTCTTGAACTCCTGGGCTACCCATCCACTTCAGCCTTCCAAAGTGCTGGGATTATAGGTGTGATCCACTGTGCCTAGCCTCATATTTTTACTTGGTAACTGACTCTCTCCTGAAAGCAGAATTGGATGGAGGGAGGGAAGAGAAAGCAGAGCATACTGGACACCTCCAAGGGACAGTTAGGGAAGAGAACAAAGAGAGGAGCTGAGAGGAGTAGGGCAGAGGGTACTGCAAAGAGAGGTAAGAAGCTAGTAGTCCTCTGGTGGATGCTCATCCACAAAGGGCTGAGTGTCTGAGTGACCAGCATCACATATGTCTGGCTCAGCCCAGGGCTGGGACCAGTACCGGTCAGTAACCAGGTTAGGGACCCAGGCTGGGAAAGGGATCTTGTCTGGGGTTGGAATTGGTGTTCAACCTGTGGCCAAGGTTGGAGGATTAGGGCTCGGTTTGTGGCTGGAATTGAAACTTAGTCTGTATTGGGATTAGGGCTCAGTCTATGGCTGGAAATAGAACCATAGAATAATTTTTATTTGAATAGCTTTGTACTTCAGCTGAGGAGCAAACTGTCACCTGTGCTCACAGGCCTTTGGCATTCTTCAAGGCTTGGACACCTCAGGAGCCTCATACCACACACACTTGAAATTTCCATCTGTTGGCACTGTTTATGAAAGCACCTATCACCAGATTTTTAACCTACAACAGGCTTGAGATCTTACTTAAAAAACAAGGTGAGGATCTTTGTAAGAGACCTCCAGATAGTATCTTGGCAAATGACCACAGGAGCCTTCCTAGATTAATAGGTTATCAGCACTAGACAAAATGAGGCTCAGATAAAGAAGTGGTCTGTCCCAATTCACAGAGCCAATAAGCGACAAATCAGGGTCCAGGATCCAGGTCTGTTCTGTTTTTTTATTTTTCCAGGTGTGAATTTTTATTCTCACAAAAAGACAACAATGTCTTCTCACATACAAGTATTTGCCAGTTTGTTTATTTTTTTAAGAGATGAGGTCTCACTATGTTCCCCAGGCTGGCCTTGAACTCCTGAGCTCAAGGGATCCTCTCCCTCTCAGCCTCCCAAGTAGCTGGTGATTGGAAGTACAGGTGTGTGCCACTGTGTCTGGCTTTTGTTCTTTTCTTTAACAAATTTGCTGTGTGACCTTGGGCAAGTCACTCTTCTTTTCTGGGCTTCAAATTAACTGTAAGTATAGGTAAATCAATGGGTAGAAGCAGATGGTTTTTGATGGCTTCGCCAACTCTAACAGCCAAGAATCTTAACATTCCCCAATAAGTGCCAGTCTACCTCACCCTAATGAGTTGGCTCCAAGTCTTTTTCTCACATGTCTGGAGCTCTGTATTTACAAGGCTGCAGGGGAGATGGAATACTGGCACTGGCAGCACTTGCTGAGAGGTACAGAGCTAAAGGCCAGGGAGGCACAGAGGAGGGAGATCAGTGGATCAAGTCACCCGGGAGAGTTTGCTTAAAGAGGTGTGACCTGAGCAAGGCTGTGAAAGGCTGACAAGATATGGGAAGCAAAGAAGTGGGGTGTGGGTAGGATACAGTCTGGTTCTAGGACATCTTTCCAAGTTGCATCAGGGGCGATGATACCTGAAGAAAACATCTCAGGGACTAAGAACAAGGTGTCAGGTGGATGGGAGGCAGACATGGAGGGCATCCTGTGCAAAGTCACTTTTAAGAACTAGAAGGCAGGTGTTAGGAGGAAACCCTCAAGGTTCAAGGAAGGGGAAGAGACATTGAGTACACAGCATTGTGCTGGGCACTTTAACCTGTTATCTCCTTTAATTCTCCTAAGAACCCTTCAAGTTCTGGATTAGTATCTCTTAGACAGATGAAGAAATTGAGGCTCAGGGAAGTTATGACTTACAAAAAGTCACACAGCTACACAGGGCAGAGCCAGGACTTGAACCTAACACTGAGCTAACTCCATTACTTGTTCTATGTAATGGAAAGACTTGAGTCTCACGCTGCTGGCAGGCCAGAGACACCCAGCCTGCTCTCATGAGCAGAAACAAGACTGAAATGAAGTCCAGCACTACTGGCTCCAGAACATCACGTGAAAAGAAAGGCATAGATGGAGCAGCTGAGCTGTGGAGAGGAAAGAGCACCAGACTTGGAGTCGGGAACTTGGGGTCTTAATCACAGGCTGTGCCTTGTATGACCTGGAGAAACCCACTGCCTCTCCTTGGCCTCAGTTTCCCTATGGGTATTTCAGGGTTTGAACGAAACCATTTTCTTCTGATTAAGAGAATCTGGTTTGGTTTCTCATCCTCACAGCATTCTAAGAGATTGGCCAGGCATGGGCAGGAGGCCCACCAGCCTATTGTGGGGGCAGTGAGGAAACTGAGGCTCAGATTGATGATATAACCTGTTTGATGTTACACTATATCTATGCAGAAAAGCATAATTAAGGAACCGATTATTTTTCGGGGGGAAGCTATCAAGTGCCAGTCCTGTGCTAGCTGCTTTACCTATATTTTCTAATTTAATTCTATCATCTGTCCGAGGATTTTTACTTCTATTTTATAATTAGGAAACCCAGGGTCAGAGAGGTGTTCTCCATGACCACCTCTCAGCAGCTAGCATTCCCGGGGCTGGGGTGGTGAAGACCCTGGTCTATCTCACTGTGCCCTGCTGCCTCCCAGAGTCTCAAGCTGCAAATTCAGGGTTCCTTCTAGACACCGTGGGGCAGACAGTAAAGCACAGGATCTGGAACTAGAGTCCTGGCTTTGGATGGCTTACTAGCTCTGTAAATTTTAGCAAGTTCCTCCTCCTTACTCAGCCTGTTTTCTCACCTGTAAAGTGCGAATGATAATACCCACCTCACTGGAGAGTTGTGAGGATCAAAAGAGAGAGAAATGGGAAGCTTATCCTAATTACCTCTCATTTCTGTCCAATGGCTCTTTCCAAAGGCCAAAAGCCTTTTCTTCTCCATCACACTCCTTACCTGTAGCCAGACATAACCAACTCCCTCCTAGAAGCAATAAATCCTACCCCAACCCAAAGCCCGGTGCCCTCCCCTCTCCCGCGCTGCCCTCGGCGCCCCTCCTCAGGTCCCTGGCAGCAGCCCTGTCTCAGTTCTGAGTCCTGCCGAGTTCCTTCGGTCCCCCGGCCCGTTTGGGTCCTCGCAGGAGTCTCCACCCCTCCTGTACAGGTGTTGCCTGGACGGCTGTCAGAAAAACGTGGGGTCCGGGTCCTGGCGCTGTCCTGCACATGCCAGGGGCCACGTCCCTCCTCTGCCCACCCACCCTCCGGGTCTACTTACGGGCTCGAGCGTGGGAGTCCAGGGGGAACCAGAGCAGCGCGAGTCCCAGCAAGAAGGAGAGGACCCTCACCTCGGGAACCATCCTTCCTTTCCCCAGGGTCAGGCCGCTGGGCGCTGGGCCGGGAGCGGAGTCAGGAGAAAGTGAGACGAAACGGACACTGAGGCACGGGGCACAGATCAACCCACAGACCCCAGGAGGGTTGCTCCTAGAGCAGGGTCGGAGAAGGGTCGAGAAGCAGCGGTGAGCAGGAAAGAAGGACGAAAAGAGAGATCTAAGGTGGGAAAAAGAGAAAGGGGGAACGAGAACAAGGGAAAGGAGGAAGAGAGATGGAGATGGAGGGACGGAGGAAGGTCGGGTAGAAGGGAGAGGCGATCAAAGTAAGGGGGAAGGTGAGAGGGAGAGGAGGAGAAAGCAGGGAGAGGACCGGCGTCTGCCTAGCGCACAGTGCCGGGCGAGGCGCGCGGGACCAGCGGGTGTTCCGGGCGCGCGGGCTAGAGGCGGCCGGCGCCCCCTGCTCGGTGGGCTCGGGGTCTGCGGTCCCGGCGGCGGCGGCGGCGCGGCTGCCGCGGAGGGACGCTGAGCGCGGGCCGGCTGTGCTCGCCAAGGGCGCCAGGCGCCGCGCTCGGGCTCATTTGTACTTTGCCGCGGGAAGCAGGCAGCCTGGCCTGGCGCTGGCCTAGCGCTGGCGCCTCCTCTGTGGCACCGCGGGCTCGGTGGATTGGCCACCCGAGAAACAGGCCCACTTTTTCCCCTCCTCTCTCGTGCGGGTCTCCGGGACGGACGCTCCAGGCGGGGCGCCGAGTGGAGGCGAGGGGGCTGCGGAGGGGGAAGGGGCCACCCGGGCCACGGGGTTTAACCCCTGACTCCCCGCGACGCCCAGAATGCAGGAGGGCAGAGTCGAGGGAGACCTCAGGTGGAACTTTCTTGTGGGGAAGGCTGAGCAGTCGGGGTTGCAGGTACCAGGAAAGCTCTGGATAAGGCACTCGGCGGTGAGTGCCCGGAATTCGGCAGATGGCTAGAATCAGAACACTGGCATTCTTCATTCAGTTTGTGGTCTTCAGCACGCCACCTGGGAGTCTGTTTCCCTAGCTCTAAAATGGGTATTTTAATTTAAAATATCTTTACTATCTCCCACGATTGTGCTAAGATGAAGTGAGATAATGAACAGCAAGCAGTCACCCCCCAATGAGAAGGGGTCCTAATTCCAGGTGCCTGCAATACCAGTTGCCCCAGTCCCCACTCTGTCTGCCCATGCACCATTCCCAGGTTGAAAGCCAGCCCAGAGGGATCCTGTGTCTTCCCCTGGAGGTCTTCCTCTGTTCCCCACTCCCACTCCCAAAACAAGGCAAGATCTCTCCTTTGCCTTTGCAGGTGAGGCCTACATCTCTCTGGGAGTGATGGTCACCTTCAGTCATCTTTAGGGAGAGCTGGTTGTCAAAGAGTCGTCTTTCCCGTCAGAAGGGGAGCTCCTTAAGGACAGGGCCCTAACACCTCCCAACCCCAAACTGATGCTCCATCTCTTGTGTTGAATGAATACCTGCACTAAAAGGACCCTAGGAAGAGAATAGCCAGCTCTGGCCAGACCAGAAACACACAAGCTCTGAAATCAAAAGGGCAGAGTCACTGTCCTGGCTCCATCCCTAACCTGTTGGGCCACTTTGAGTAAACACATCCATCCTTGCTTTGGACCTCGACTTCCTGCCCGTCTTCTCTTAAAGAGCTACTGGAGACTCCAAAGAGTGCTGGAGAGGTGGGAAGGGATGTTGAGCCATATCCCGCACCGGTAGGGAATCATATTTCCAGGTTTAAATAATTGGCTGGCTGGCTGTAAAGGTATCTTTCTGGCCCAAGGCTGGGCTCCCCATTGCCCTGTGCTTTCAGGCTATTACCCTCCAGATCCCCACCCCCCAACAGAGAGCAGTAGGAGGAACCAGTGATCCCCAAACTGGCCCTTCCCAGGGCTCTCAGAATTGGGGACAAACATGATCTGCCCAGTGCCCTTCAGGCTTAACTTCCACTCTAATCTGGCCAATCTCTTCCTTTCCTTTGAGCATTCTTTATTTTAACAGATAATGCAAGCTTATGCATGTCACCATGCTTCCCTTTTTGCCTTTGCTTTCAGGGAACTCAGTTATACCCCCTGCTGCTTAATTGCATAAACAATCTCATCCCAAGGGTCTGGGACAGTGATCTTTTTCTTTCTCCATCTTTGTTTAAAATGTGCTGTGAACATATATTCATGTCTTAGATGTAAGAAGCTGATTAAGATGGGTTTCCCTACATCCTGCTCATTATACTTCAGAAAAGGCCTCCACCATCTCAGCCCTCCTGTCAATCCCTATTATCCCCAGAGTTCAAGCCATCTTCATTCCTTTTTTTTTTCTGAGACAGAGTTTCACTCTTGCCACCTAAGCTGGAGTGCAATAATGTGATCTCATCTCACTGCAACCTCTGTCTCCGGGTTCAAGTGAGTCTCCTAGTTCAGCCTCCCGAGTAGCTGGGATCACAGGCATGTGCCACCATGCCTGTTAATTTCTGTTTTTTTTAGTAGAGACAGGGTTTCGCCATGTTGGCCAAGCTGGTCTCGAACTCCTGACCTCAGGTGATCCACCCGCTGTGGCCTCCCAAAGTACCTCGATTACAGGTGTGAACCATTGACCATTGCACCTGGTCATCTTCATTCCTTACTTGAACTTTCCCAACAGTCTCTTAACAGGTCTCCTCCCCCTAATCTGGATCCCTCCTATCTATTTTCCTCACATGTGCCGTGAAAACTATGCTGATCGCTTCTGCTGACAAATCTGATCACATTACTTGCCTACTTAAACCTATTATTCACTCCTTATTGTTTATAGATTACAATCTAAAATTTTCAGCACTGAATTGAACACTTCCCATATTTTAGTCCCGATCTACTATTGCCACCTACCTTACACTTTCACCAACCACTCACTTCCCCAAACTGGCCATGTGTCTTCATACCTCCATGTCCTTGTATGAACTTTCCTTCTGCCTGGACTCTTTCTCTTCCTCCATCTAGTGAATCCCTTTTAACTTTCCAAGGATAAGGATCAGCTGAGTCACCTCCACTCTGAGGTGTTCTCTGAGTCCCCCCCACTCTGAGGTGTTCTCTGAGTCCCCCAGGCAAAGTCAATGTTTAGTCTTTGTATGTCCCATAGCACTTTGAATTGTAGCTATTGGAGTGTAAGTATTTATTTGCATTTTTACCCTGCACTGTGAGTGCAGGTACCTTTTAAAATTTATACCTATTTCTAGCAGTTAGCAAAGTCTAAATTGCATTTATCACACAAAGATACTGAATAAATAATTGCTACATGAGTGAGTGAAGACCTCAGTGATTGGAAAAGCCTTCAGCCCCCTATTGGCCTCAGCTTTAGTCAGTGATTGATATAAGAAACAAACACTTGAAAGTTTCTGTGTCAGGCTGGACACAGTGGCTCACACCTGTAATCCCAGCACTTTGGGAAGCTGAGGTGGGAGGATTGCTTGAGCCTAGGAGTTTAAGACCAGCCTGGGCAACAAAGTGAGACCTCCTGCTCCGTCTCTACAAAAAGTCAAAAAATTAGTTGGGCATAGTGGCACCCATCTGTAGTCCCAGCTACTCTGAAGGCTGAGGCAGGAGGATTGCTTGAGCCCAAGAAGTTGAGGCTGCAGTGAGCCGTGTTCGCACCAGCCTGGGTGACAGAGCAAGATTCTGTCTCAAAAAGAAAGAAAGAAAGTAAGTTTCTGTGTCTTCTATAGAATTACTATTGAAGAGAGTTGCCCATATGTTATTTAATATCCTTCTAAAAAGAAGACTGAATAAATTCTTCCAAAATCTAGTCAGGAACAAAAAATGCATCTATCCATAGCAATTTGTTGCACCAAGAGTTTATCTGGCATCTGCTTACTTCCTTCATAGGAACTTGCTCATTGCCTGCCAAGGCAGCCCATTCCACTGTTGGACAGCTCTGTTAGAAAGTTCTTTATATTAAACTGAAATCTGATTCTCTGTGACTGCCTGCATTGCCCCTCGTTCTGTTCCTGGGGCTATACAGAACCAGCCAAGTCCTTTTGTCTTTCAAGCTCTCTAGAGATTTGGGACAGAGAACCCCTCTCCCATACCTTCACCTTTACCAGTCTGGGTCCCTGGACCCCTCATGCCACATTAAACGTTTTCTTCAAATGTGCCAAGCTCTTGGCCCTCCATGCCTCTGCACACACTGTTTCTTCGACCTGGGATGCCCTCTCTGTACTCACTCTTATTTGTCTGGCAAGCTTACTTATTTTACAAGGGTTAAGGTAATTGCTAACTCCTTCATTCAGGCAACAATTATTGAGTGCAAATTCTGGGCCAGGCATAGTGCTAGGTGCTAGGGACACAGTGGAGAACAAGACAGACACTGACACTTATATTCTAGATTCTCTGAATCCTCTTTGCTGGTCTCTGGGTTAGCTCCATTTCCCCTCCACACTTCTTCCTTATAGCACTTATTACATTGCATTTTCAGTAGGTTTTGTGCCACTTCCTCTAGAGTGAGTTCTTTGAGAACATAGACTACTATTTATCTAATATCTTCCCTAGCCTTCAGCACACATCTTTGCACATATTTGCTGCTAAATAACGGTTCATTGAATAATATTCTAGATCCTTCAAACAGTCCTCTTTCGACATGCTATTTGTGATGAAAAAGGCCGTCTCCTCTGCCGCAGTTGCTTAATTATGTAAACTTAGCATAGTGATAAGGATCATAGGGATCAGTGTCAAGGAGGGACTTAGCCTAGTCTGCTTAGCTCTGTCCAGAAGATTCTAAAAGAAGATTCACCACAAGAAGATTACATAATAGAGACTCTACACCAGTGGTATGATGCTAAATGTTTAACCAGTGGTTCTCCAGGGAAAAATGTTGTGTTTTTTACAGTTGCCAATGTCTGTGGTGTAAATACTCCCACTGTGGCCAATTCACACTACAAATGTGACATCACTGAAAGCACAGAGGAGAAAAGAGGTTCCTAGTGAAATACCGTTCTACAGTAGTTCTTCCATATCGACATAGTAGATGTAAATAACTTCAAGAACACTGATGGTAGTAAAGTAATTAGGAAGTGATGACTCAGTTTTTATTACCTCTTTTAAATGTAACTTATTTAATTTTAGGAATGACTGTGTTCAATAAGCAGCTTGCAACATTTCTGAAAATTTAACACCTGGCTCTCCTTAGCTGGTTAAAGCCAGCTCTATGATACACTGCTTTTACATGATTAGGTGCTAAAAAGCAATGAACAAATAAACTCTTTAAAGCTGGGTTCAGCCAGTGGTGGTGGCGTGTCTCCAGTCTCAGCTTCTCTGGAGGCTGAAGTGGGAGGATCACTTTGAGACCAGGGCAACATTGTGAAACCCTGTATCATTTAAATGAATAAACAAATAAGTAATAAAGAAAGAAAGCTGGGTCCAATTTATTTACATTAGGAGGAAAGTCTTATTTAAAGGACCTTCAAAGTTTATTTGTGAACAATTTCTACCCTACTCCCACCCCTCAACTGAGTCAGTTACTCACCTATATAACAAATATTTATTTAGAACCTACTATCATTTTAGTATTTATTTGGCTCTCCAGATATTGTACATATAGTTGCCTAAATAGAAATGTTTGTAGAATGGATGAGTGAATCCTCAACACCTTAAATAATGCCTGGTGCATTGTGGGTGTTCAGTAAGTATCTATGTGAGTCAGTGAATGGATCTTCTTTAA